GAAAGGAAGGGACGGAGGGAGGGAGGGAGGGAGGGAGGGAAGGAAAAGAATTCATTAGCTGGAGTATAAGCTCACGTTAGCAGGGCTTTATCCTGATGGCAATGGCGGATGGACTTGGAAGTGGGGAGGAGGCCCTGAAGATACAAATCAATTAGGAAGCTATTGTTATAGCCCAATGAGAGATGACCCATCTATTGAGGCACATCTATCTTTTACATTTGTACCATGGTAATTATGGACTTGGACTTGATTGACATTGCCCACAAAATACACACAGACACAGAGAAGATAAGTTGCTCAAAAGCAGGAAAAAAGTATCATTGCTTCACCACAGGAGACATTTATTATTTGTCTTCCCAGAATAGATCTCCTTTCTTTTGTGGAAGGACTAATGCCCTATTGCAACTTTATGGTGTGCCATGAACAGTGTGTAACAATACTGATCACATGACCCCATGCCAGCCAATTGGAGTTCTTCTCTGGGATTTTACGTGCGTGTGTGCACGCGCGTGCGCATGCATGTGTGTGCGTGTGTGTGTGTGTGTGTGTGTGTGTGTTGCTGATGTGGGAACATGCTCTTTCCTCTATGGTCAGGAGACTATAAAGACGTAAGCTAGGCTACCTGGAGCCATGACTCCAGGCCCCTAGAGACTGCCAGCCTGAGAGAAGAGTTAGAAGGGAAGGATTTGAATCCCTGGACCCAGCTTTCCAGAAGGCCTGCTTCTCTCTGGCTCTGAGTGGTTTCTGTTTTGTTTTGTTTTTTTAACATGAGTTACATATATTTCTACTGGTCTCTTTATTTTTTTGTTTTGCAATTTGGAGCATACACACAGACTGAGTATCTCTGGTATGTCCCTCTGCCTGCCTCTTAAGGTAGGTCCTGTCACTTCCAGCAAAAGGCCCTGTCTGATGTATGTACCCAGGATGGCATCCTCCCATCAGATCTAATACAAAGAAGCTGTTCAAAACACATCTGGAAAGAGTAGAGCACAGAAAAATGGTGTGAAGAAGGAGATGCCCAAACAAAGCACAATTTCATAGGCCCCCACCTGCTGCTGCCATGCACCGGGCAGTTTTCCTGAGGTCAGGTGGACCAGAGAAAAGCCCGCACTTAGGGAGTGTTCCATCTTCACATATCCTAGATGCCATCCTTAGTTGCCATGGGAAAAGGCATTCTTTTTCTTTTTTCTTTTTCTCTTTCTTTTTTTTTTTTCTTTTGAGACAGAGTCTCACCCAGTCATCAGACTGGAGTGCAGTGGCGCAATGTCGGTTCGCTGCAACCTCCGCCTCCCGGGTTGAAGCAATTCTCCTGCCTCAGCCTCCCAAGTAGCTGGAGACACGCCACCAAGCCCAGTTAATTTTTGTATTTTTAGTAAAGACCAGGTTTCACCATGTTGGCCAGGATGGTCTCGATCTGTTGACCTCATGATCTGCCCACCTCAGTCTCCCAAAGTGCTGGGATTACAGGCACGAACCACTGCACATAGCTGGGAAAAGGCATTCATATTCACAAACATTCACCATGACTAGGCCACCCCAGGGGGTCCTCTTTTCTCTCTTTCCAAGTTTCAAAAATGCAAGAGAACTGTGAAAAGATATTCAACAAGGAATACTTTTCCATCAAGGTACAGAGGAAGCACTTGAATCCATTCAAGGAACTATGACCTCCTGGTTCCCACCACCAACCCACTTCTGGCTGAGCTAGCTCCGGTATACACCTCAACAGAGAAACCTCCCTGGTTACTGTTTCAAAGAACGAGTTGTTCCTACCCTCATCCCCTGCTAGTAGTACTCTCTTAGCCAAACTGGCATCACTTTCTCCACCTCTGATTATCACCGAATGTAGTATTTCTATCTCAATTTTGTGTCCCCTAATCCAACTGGAAAGTAAGCCTCCAGGGGGCCAGGCATTCTCAATTCTGTTCACTGTTCTATTCCCAACACCTAGGATAGTGCCTGCCATGTGCTGTGTCTCCATAAATATCTGTTTAACGAATGGGCGTGCAATGATCCAAGACTGGGAACAAGTTAATAGCATTTTGTGATTGAGAGAATAGGCTGAGGAGAGATCTGACTTCAGGTCTCCAGGAGCTTAAGATAAGCAAGAACCTGATATACCCATCTTCAGGTGGAATAAAAGAAGCAATGAGACCGACGGGACTCATAAGGCTTTTAGGTCCAAGCTAGTGGTACATTGTGGGGACAGCTACTGTTTTTGCCTTCCTAGCATGCACTCACCCTTCTGACAACAACCCCTGATTTTCCTTGTGTCTACCCTGACCTACTTTTGGAGGTAAGCAGGTGACCTAATTTAGCCAATCAGCAGACCCAATGCCTTTGCTTTAGCCAATCAGCAGACCCAACGCCTTACTCATAGTGATTGTTTTTTGTCTGGACACACGATCCAATTCAGGCAATAAGAGTCAATCCCATGCCTTTTGCCAAAGCAAAAAGGAAAAAGAAACTCCGTCCCAGGTAAGGCTTGGTAGCTCACACCTCTAATCCCAGCACTCTGGGAGGCCAAGGCAGGTGGATCGCTTGAGTCTAGGAGCTTGACCAGCCTGGGCAACATGGTAAAAACCCCATCTCTACAAAAAATACAAAAATTAGCTGGGCATGGTGGTGTACACCCATGGTCCCAGCTACCTGGAGGGTTGATGTGGGAGGATTGCTTGAACCCAGGAGGTCGAGGCTGCAGTAAGCTGTGATCATGCCACTGCACTCCAGCTTGGGTGACAGAGTAAGACCCTGACTCAAACAAAACCTCCCTCTCCAGGGACCCTGCTAGCAGGAAAGAGGATGAAGCTTGGGGCTGCCGGAGTCATCACCCGAATCAGAGAATAAAGCTAACTCGGAGGAAAGCATCAGAGAGACGTCAAGGCACCAGCTTGAGTTACCTCCCTGGATGTGACCATGTCTGCAGGTACTGGAAATTTCAATCATGTGAGCCAATAATTCCCCTCTTCTGGGGAACTACATGGAATTGTGTTTCTGTCACAACTGAAATCATCCTGACCAATGGATTTAGGATTCTGAAGAATGAAAAGGAAATACATCATTAGGGCTCTTAAATACCTCAAAGGGAGGCCAGGTGTGGTGGCTCACACCTGTAATCCCAGCACTTTGAGACGCTGAGGTGGGCAGATCATGAGGTCAGGAGTTCGAGACCAGCCTGGCCAACATATGAAACCCCATCTCTATGAAAATTAGCTGGGCGTGGTGGTGGGCACCTGCAGTCCCAGCTACGCAGGAGCAGGAGGCAGGAGAATCATTTGAACGCGGAGGCAGAGACTGCAGTGAGCCGAGATTGTGCCACTGCACTCCAGACAGAGCGAGACTCTGTCAAAACAAACAAAAAAATCTCAAAGGGAAGCCTAACATCAGGCAGTGTCCAGGAAATGTAATCTAACACCTTTTGTTGAAACTCATTGCCTGTCTTTTTGGTGAGTAGGATAGGAGCTGCAGAGAAAAAGGCCATGCTAGTTTTATTAAGTATTTACAGTCACATTTTGCAAATAATTTCAGCAACTCTAACTCAGGTGTTTTAACATCTCAGCATCTCACAGCTCTAAGAAACAGAATCAGTCTTCTACTCAGTGCAGAGGGAGAGAGAGCTTGACATAACCAAAAGAGCACTGAACCAAGAGTCCAACAATCTGGCTTTTAATCTGTATCTGATCACGAATTAGCATTGAGGTCTTAGACAAATCACCTTGCTTCTATTGGTCTCATGACCACATCATCTTCAAGCACTTGCCTAATTCTGCAATGATAAATCCGCTAGGACAGGGGTTCTTAATTTTTGATGGGGCCTCAGCCCCAGGAAAACACACATTGCACAAACACACGATTTTATGTTGCATAGGGTTCACAACTCTAGAAGCCAATCTACGTCTCTAACCTCTCTGCTTAACAGTAACACCAGCTCCTGTTGAGCTCCTCCAGTGAAAGGGAGCTCACTACTCACAAGGAAGGCCATTATACTATTGAAACTGTACTAGAAAAATAAGTTCTTCTTCATATATATATATATATTTGAGACGGAGTCTCGCTCTGTCGCCCAGGCTGGAGTGCAGTGGCTTGATCTCGGCTCACTACAACCACTGCCTCCCGGGTTCAAGCAATTCTCCTGCCTCAGCCTCCAGAGTAGCTGAGATTACAGGCGTCCGCCACCACGCCTGGCTAATGTTTTGCATTTTAAGGAGAGACGGGATTTCACCATATTGGCCAGGCTAGTCTGGAATTCCCGACGTCAGGTGATCCGCCCGCCTCGGCCTCCGAATGTGCTGGGATTACAGGTGTGAGCCACCGCCCCTGGCGTTCTCCTTCATATCAAACCAAGCTCTGCACACTGTAATTTCCACCCATTGGTCCGAGTTCTCCACAGCAAATCGGAAAAATTGTGTTCTCGCCTGTAAATGACATCTCTTCCTCTCTCTCTCTCTGAAGACTGTTTCTAAGAAATGTAGATGATTCGCCAGGCAAATTATTTTGCTGTACATTGTTACAAAGATAAGTTCTTCCACCTCACTTCTAACTGCCAAATAGCCAAATGTAGATGCTGAAGTCCAGATAAGCCCACTGCTATTAATCTGCATGGATCTAGGTTTTGCAAAGAGGGGAAGTGCTGTATATAAATATCTTGAAAGAAACAGCATAGTATTTTGGGGAAAGCACCGCATTCAGAATCAGAAGACTGGAAGTCATACTCCGTCTCCCATTCCAACTACCTGCGAATCCTTGGGCACGTCACTTCTCTCAGCCTGGTTCTCTTCTGCAAAATGCGACAGGAATACAGTGAGGAGTAAGCGAAATATTTGTAAGCTTCCAGGGCAAGGCTGGCACATAGCAAATTCTCAATAAATAAATAACTGCCAGCTCCCGCGCTCAGCAAGCTCCGAGTTTTATTCGATGCGCTCGACGCTCTTGGTCGAACGGGAGTCCCGCTCCGGAGCCCGAGTCTGCGCTCTGGGCTCGACTGAGGCTCCCTGGCCGCTCGCGCTTTTCTCTCCTTCTCCAAGATGGCGGCGGTCGGCGGCGCTGAGGCGGGATCCGGGCGAGCCGAGTGAAGGTAGCGGCGAGCGGAGCCCCCAGGAGGCCGGGCTGGGCCCCCACCCAGAGGCGGCAGCAGCCCCGCCCCGCCGCCCCCCGCCGTCCTGGGCCCGCGACACCGCCTCTGAGGCGCCCCAGGCCCGTCGCGGCCTAGCCCAGGGGCCGAGCCGGGGACTGGAGTAGCGGCCGCAGCCGCCCCCAGGCAGGGGCTGGAGCGGGCAGAAGGAGGAGGGCGGGCGGGAGCTGTTCAAACGGGGAAGGCGGGAAAGCTGCGGGGCCGGGAGGGGGCGTGCGGCCGCCCCGGGGGCCTGCGGACCCGGTGCGCCCCTCCCCCTGCCCGGGCCGTCTCCGCCCTCGGGGGCGCCGTGAGGCCGCCGGGGACGCGGGAAGCCGGGTGCAGGTCGAGCTGTGCGGCTCGCATCCCGCGATGCGGGGGTCCCGGGGGCTGTCAGGGGGAAAGGGCCCGGGGCTGCGGCCACGGGAGGGCTGAGGCCGCGGCTGGCAGGAGAGGGTACGAGGAGCTTTCTTCTTTTCCTCTTCACAGAGCTTTGTTGAAGTAGCTGTTGGCACAAAACTGCCGGGAGAATCCCACTGGTTTGCCGTGGGGAACCACAAAAATGGTGGTCCCGGGGGCTGATGGTGTAAATCACCTGGTATTGTGTGTATTCTTTGCGTGCAACCCGGCCTGGCCGTGCCTCCGCGGTGGGAGCCTTCTCCATGCAGGCCCATTTTCCCTCCACAACTACTACTTGTAGATTCACTTTATAGCGTGCAGAAGCGGAGAAACCTCTCTGTCCCCTCTTTCTGAGGGCTAACTGGTGGCTGATTATATTTCCTCCTAATAGAATACATTTTAAAAAAACGGAATCCCAAATAAAGCCTGTTGATTGGACAAGGCTTGTCAAAATTTGTATTGCTAGTCTTTTGGAATGTGTGTTGTCAGCCAATCTGTGCGGTGGTCGTGGTTCCGGTTAATTGCACTGCAATGAGAGGATTCCATCCCCATCCCAGACTGTCGGGATCTCTGCAGCTTCCAGAGCTGGCAGGGGCTGGGAGTGCTGCCTAGGTAGGTCCCCGGAGAAGGGAGTGGCAAGAGGATTCGGAGCCGCTGTGTTCGGAGATTGGAGGAAACCTCGACGAAAATGAGAAGGCATCACTTGCTTGTATCCTAGAAGTAACAACAAGAACATTTCAGAAATTGGCAACCGGTGGATGCTCATCTTCCTTTACCTGCACTGACTGGCATTTTGAGTTCTTGAAAGGAGTGTTGGAAGAGGAGAACGCAGAATCTTGGACAAGGCTCTCATCCTGGAACAGACCTGGATTTCAGAATTTCTCTCACTGGCCCTTTGCTGGGGCTCCCTTTGTTTCCTTTTTTTCGATACTCATTTACATTATGGGGTGAAGAAGCTTGTTAGTGATTGCAGGAGCTCACGTTACTTCAAAAAAAACAACCACTTGAACTTTTTTTTTTTTTAATATTATTTGAAGTTTCAAAATAACAAAGATTTGTTGTTATATGATTTCAAAATCATATCTGATGATTTTTCCCCCAATTACTTTGGGCATCCCAAATGAACATAACTTGTATACTTGTCTACAAGGGAAAGAGCAACTCTGCCGCCTCCTTTTCATATCCTGAAGAAAAGTCCCCGAAGAGCTATTTAACAATTTGTACATAAGTATGCATTTTTATGGTACCGGTTCTGTACTTGTATCATCAGTATAAAATAATGAACTTTTACTTCTGTTGTCATATCTTAGCACACTGAGACAAAGTTATTCCTGCCTCTTGGAGTTGACATTGAATTTTGTAAACTCCCAAATTATTGAAGTGAGAATGGCTATCAACACCTGGTTCACATTTGCCAACATTTAATGTAATTATGACCTCCCTTTTCTAATGTGAAAAACCTAATATTTTTCATTTCCATTAATCCTCACAATCTACTCTCTACCCCTGAACTCTGAATTTTCACGGATCATATTCAAGACCTGGAAGGAACATCAGGGGTTCATCTGATCTTATATAAATGTTGCCTAAACTCTGGCTTTCTTTCACACTGTTGCTTGAGGTTTATCTGGTATCTTTCTTCTATGAGTCAACAACCAAAACTAAACCCTGAGTTGCAATAATATCCTGATTTTAAAGAAGCTAGAAATTCAAGGCCCATCAGTCTGCCCAAGCTGTGAGAGATACAGTCTGTGTTTAATTTTAGTTTTTCAAGCTTTTGGCTGTCCCAGTTCTTTAGTGAACTGGACTTGTCTTCAGGCCTCATTCATTTTTTTTCTTCAGGTTATTTAATCCAGTGATTTATAAAATGCTTTTCAGTGTTTTTAAGAAAATTCAACAGTAGCAGACCTAATCTAATAAGTAATGCTAACACCACATTTTCTGTGTGGGTCTGTGCCTCTGAGAAGCAGTTCCTAGTTTTCTATTCCCTCACAACTTTTTAATCCACTAGTTTTTTAAAGCAGTCAATAGCGGGACCACGATACAGTCATCTTACACTGTCTTCAGAGGTACTTATTTCTATTCTGTTAGGTTGCCCTACTATGTTTTATGTTGATTTCGATGTTACCAAAGGGAAGGCCTGTTTATAAGTCTCAGAACCAGCCTTTGCTTACATTTACAAGTGCATTTTTTTGTTGACAGAACATTGATGGCTGTATTTATGATATTTAATATTTAAGTTTTTGCTATTATTTCTCAAATATTCTTGCCAAAATTCATGCACAGAAAGCGTTTAATTTGAGGTCTCCAGTGGTAGTTCTTGGCATTATCAGCCTATGAATATCATCTGTATATTTTTCTTATAAGCTCAGTATTTTAGTGCCATTGAGAGGATATGCTCTTTTCAAATAAATGGATGTAATTCCCTATATTTCACTTCACCTACCTGCACCCTTTTTGGAGTTAGCACCACTTGGGTAGAAAGAGGAAAACAGTAGTTCCCATTGAGAAAGTTTCATACTTAAATGCTGGAACATGAAAAACTGGCTAAATTATGTATCTTGCCTCTTCTCATTTTTGTCTGAGGGCTGACCTTATGTCCCCTTCGTTTCCTGTGAAAAGGCCCTTCGAACAGGCAGTTCTCCAGTTTATCTTTAAAACAATCCAGGCTAATGTAGTTTCATTACTCTAGCTTCTCTTACTTTGACTAAATCCATTCTTTAGAAGTGAAGAAATGCTTTTTTATGTTTCTTTTCTTAATGTCACTTATAAATCATTCTTGGTAATGCTTCATTTTCCTGTTTGCATTTTAGGCCTACGTGTACGTTGTATTTTATCTGATTTGTGCAAATAAGTCTTTTATTTTTTAAAAAAAAATGTAACTCATGAAAGTTTCCCTTGTTAATCAAATTCATCTTTTCTTTCACAAAAGTTCCATGCATCGGTATTGTCTACAGCTACCTGAAGGAATTAGTAATGTGTTATTTAAGTGTCCTTCGGTATTTCTAAATCCCTTTATAATAATGAAGGTAAATTTAAATAAATGATCAATTAGATTAACTTTATAATCATTTGACTTAATTGGATGAGAACATTTCCAAAATATTTAATATATAATTTTAAATTTCCTGAAGGACTTGTGACATTGCTTGTTCTTAAAACATTTAAAGAATTTTACCTTACAGTGTATTTTATAGCATTGTCATCAGTCAAGATGAGCATATAAACTGAAATGCCAAAAAATTTATAAAAATTCTATACAATACCTAGAACATTTAAATTATATCAGTCATTATTAGTGAAGATCTTAATAATCATAAAAGTTTTATGACCAGTGGACAAATGATAAATATCTCCCTGTTTTCACCCAGCCTTTAAGAAATAATTGGTGTTGGTGAAAGCTGTCATATGGTCAACTGATGGAAGGAGTGCTCCTGCTTTTACAGTTACATAAATTTGAACAAATTCATGTAGGCCCCCCAAAAATGCAAAAGAAATTATGCTCTGAAGATATTTAATATCCCTATACAGTTAATCATTTCTGTTTAAATTGCAAAACAATAGATGTTACCATTTCACCAATTCAGTTGGTAGGATTTTATGCTCTTCAAGTGTTTGGTGTGATCTGTCTTCTCTGCGCCTTGCTTTACCTGTGTATTTTTTAACCATGATTGAACCTATCCCTCTAACTTAATGTTGGTTTCTACCCTGTCTCAGTGTTGTCAGTCCTGTTGGCATTTCAGAAATTCTCATTAATTTTGAAAGTACTTTTTAGATTGGAGGTATTTTATATACTTCCCCAAATGACAACTTTAATTCATGACTGAAATCTAATTAAGCCTAGTGTACTTCCTGCAGTATCAACCCCAGTATATTTACAAAGAGAATGAGGAGGTGACAAGACACTCCTTTATTTCTTGCTGCCCTTCCAGTCGGCCCTTGGATCACTGCGCATTTCCATCTGGAAGGTTGCTTCTCCACAGTGATTTCGCATTACAGGAGGGTTTTCCTTCTTTGTTTCTCAGACCTGGCCCTGTAGACGGGAAGGAGACTGGACACAGTGGCACATTCTCAAAGGCCCTGCAGGACCGCCATGGCTTATGATGACTCCATGAAGAAAGAAGGTATGACCCCATAATCAGAAGCATTCCAAAGGGGGTATCCTCTTCAATTCTTGCAGCCCATGGATATAGAGACCAGGACTGGGCACCACAGCCTGGACTCCCAAGTGATGGTCCAGAGCACTGTTATGACACTCAGCCTCTACGCCATCCCCAGACTGGGCCCATGGAAACGAAAACCAGGACAGGGCTTCCTACATGAGAGTCTGAAATATGAGTCTTAGTTTATTGGGGTGATCCCCTGCAGCACTCTTGGTCCTTGCCAGCTCCAGTGTGCAGGAGTCTGGGGATAGGAATCACATACTGGACTCCCACAGAGCAGCACAGCACAGCACATGACTCCTTATTCTTTTCAGCCTTCCGTCGGCAAGTCTGTTTCCACCTACCAAATCACAACTAAGAAACCATGTCTCAGGTTGCACATGGGGCCTTTGCATAGCATGGAAACATTGTTTCTTCCGGTTTGATTCTTGTATTTGCAGCCAGATCATCAAGAAATACTCTGTTCCCCTGGGTCTAGCCCTGTATTTCAGTGGACTTTACTGAAACGTTGTAATTTGGAAATAGAGGGACTGTTGCATTACCTGCATGGTGATTGGGTCATTACTTACTTGACTTTCTCATTTCCTTTCTTAAATAAACCTGTGCTTCTCAGATTGTTTTGATGGTGATCATACCTTTGAGGACATAGGACTTGCCGCTGGCCGAAGCCAACGAGAAAAAAAACGTTCTTACAAAGATTTTTTAAGGGAAGAGGAAGAAATTGCTGCTCAGGTCAGGAATTCTTCCAAGAAGAAGTTGAAGGTAAGTCCTGAAAATTTAAATTAGGAAAGTTTTAAATTATTCTTTTTTTTGGAGGTGGAGTTTTTTTGCTCTTGTGGCCCAGGCTGGAGTGCAGTGGCACGGTCTTGGCTCACTGCAGCTTCCACCTCCTGGGTTCAGGCGATTCTCTTGCCTCAGCCTCCTGGGACTACAGACATGCGCCACCATGCCTGGCCAGTTTTTGTATTTTTAGAACAGACAGGGTTTCACCGTGTTGACCAGGCAGTTCTCGAGCTCTTAACCTCAAATGATTCACCTGCCTCCCAAAGTGCTAGGATTACAGGCATGAGCCACTGCGCCCAGAAAGTCTTAAACTACTTCTTACCATATTTCCTAAAATGTGAAGAAGGAAGTGTTTTTTAATAACTTTAGAACAGAAAAATAAAACATTGTGCACGTCTATTTTTATTATTTCTTGTGCTTTGTTTCCCAAAGTCAAAAATCATCAAAGACAAGTGTGGTTCCAAACTACATTTGCCTCATCATCTTCTTATTGGTCAATTCTTCTTCTTTAATTACAGGATAGTGAACTTTACTTCTTGGGGACGGACACACACAAGAAGAAGAGGAAGCACTCCTCTGATGATTACTACTATGGAGGTGAGGATGGGAATGGGCAACATGTGGGATAAACACATCTCTGGTTCTTGGAGTCGGGGTAGGGGAAAGGGATCCAGATGTTGCTGACTCAGTGGCCTATTTAACAGGACAGTGGTTCTTGTTCTGAGTGCCGATAAACCAGTGTGAAGGAGGAGAGGTGGAGGGCTGGTATTTTGGAGGATTCAGCATAGAAGAACAGTCTGCATTTGTGATACACCAGGTACCAGGTTCCTTCTCCCCCCAATCATCCACTTATCTTGCGCCCATTGTTATCTAGCATCCCTCTTGTCATATGTAGTCCTTGGGCCCTCTGGCCTGCACCTGTGGGTCACTTCTCAACCAGTATATCTCCACTCACAGAACCAGTTTTCTTAGCTATGTTACACACATAGCTGATGAGACTCAACTTTCACTGGAATGGGTTTGTCCTGAACACAGAAACAGATGATACTCTGTCTGCAATCTGGATTATTAACTTCCCATAATCCCACAGCTCTAGTCAAATCTTCTGGGTATGTGCTCTTTGGTTGCTTCTGAAGACTTAATGAAGAGAAACAACTTTAGTGGCAAGAACTGTGTCCAGGGTCAGAGGCAGCATCTACCAAGCTGAGAAGCACAAGGCCATCATTTCTCAATGTTAGGAATCAGTTAAGGGGTCTCCCTTCAAATCATTCCTGTTAGCCTCTTTCTCATGTTAGCTAGGTGCTTTTGATGAGAGAGGAAGCTTGTTAGAAGTTGCTTCCCATCATACTGACAGTACTTCTCTTGATTATTTCTAGACATTTCCTCTTTGGAATCGTCACAGAAGAAAAAGAAAAAGTCCAGCCCGCAATCTAGTGATACAGCGATGGACCTGTTGAAAGCTATCACTTCCCCACTGGCAGCAAGCTCCAAGCCCTCCAAAAAGACGGGGGAGAAATCCTCTGGCTCTTCAAGCCATTCGGAGAGTAAAAAGGAGCACCACAGGAAGAAAGTCAGTGGAAGCAGCGGGGAACTACCCCTGGAGGATGGTGGCTCCCACAAATCCAAAAAAATGAAACCCCTCTATGTGAACACAGAGACACTGACCCTTCGGGAGCCTGATGGTTTAAAAATGAAACTTATTCTCTCACCAAAGGAGAAGGGAAGCAGCTCTGTTGATGAGGAGTCCTTTCAATATCCCTCCCAACAAGCAACTGTGAAAAAATCCTCAAAGAAATCAGCTCGGGATGAGCAGGGTGCTTTACTCCTAGGACATGAGTTACAGAGCTTTCTGAAAACAGCCCGGAAGAAGCACAAGTCATCCTCAGACCCACATTCATCTCCTGGCCCTGAAGGCTGTGGGTCTGATGCCTCCCAGTTCCCAGAGTCCCACAGTGCTAACCTTGATCTTTCAGGACTTGAACCTATTCTGGTAGAATCAGACTCATCCTCTGGTGGGGAGCTGGAGGCTGGGGAGTTAGTGATAGATGATTCTTACCGGGAAATCAAGAAGAAAAAGAAGTCAAAGAAGAGCAAAAAGAAGAAGGACAAGGAGAAGCATAAAGAGAAGCGACACTCCAAGTCCAAGAGAAGTTCAGGACTTTCTGCTGTGCCAGTGGGAGAGGTCACAGTGACATCCGGCCCCCCTCCCAGCATCCCATACACTGCAGCAGCGGCTCCTCCCCCACCACTTCCTGGCCTCCACACAGATGGGCATAGTGAGAAAAAAAAGAAAAAAGAAGAGAAGGACAAAGAGAGAGAGAGAGGAGAAAAGGTAAAGCATCTTTTAAGTGTGGGGGGGGTAAGAGATGAAGCAGGTTCTTCCTGGATAGTCAGTGGACTTGGAAGTTAAGCAGTTGAGGTAAACCATTGGGAATTTAGCACAGTTGGGGGATATGTTGGAATGATATAAAGTGTAAAATATTACCAGTGGTGCAGTCTGTCTGATACAAATATAGGAGCAATCCTTCCCCCCACCACCCCCCTGAGAGGGAGTCTCGCTCTGTTGTCCATGATGGAGTACAATGGCACGATCTTGGCTCACTACAACCTCCACCTCCCAGGTTCAAGCCATTCTCACTGCCTCAGCCTCTCAAGTAGCTGCGATTATAGGCACCCGCCACCATGCCTGGCTAATTTTTTGTATTTTTAGTAGAGATTGGGTTTCACCGTGTTGGCTAGGCTAGTATTGAACTCCTGACCTCAGGTGATCCACCCGCCTTGGCCTCCCAAAGCGCTGGGATTACAGGCCTGAACCACCATGCCCGGCCAGAGCAATCTTAATTATTCATGGGTTTTCTTTCTTTTTTTTTTTAACTGTATAATAGAGACGGAGTCTTGTTCTATCACCCAGGTTGGAGTGCAGTGGCATGATCTCAGCTCACTGCAACCTCTGCCTCCTGGGTTCAAGCAGTTCTCCTGCCTCAGCCTCCCAAGTAGCTAAGATTACAGGTGCTCGCCACCACACTTGACTAATTTTTTTTTTTTTTTTTTGTATTTTTAGTAGAGATGAGGTTTCACCATGTTAGCCAGGTCTCAAACTCCTGACCTCAAGTGAACCGCCCGCCTCAGCCTCCCAAAGTGCTAGGATTACAGGCGTGAGCCACTGTGCCAGGCCTAGGGTTTCATAATAGAATTTTTTTCCCATTGTGCCAGGAATAGGTTTAGGTGTACTGTGGCTTATTCTAGCTGGTTCTTAAAATTCATAGAAGGAGCTAAACCCAATTTATTTCACTAACCATCACTGTCTGCTTAGGGCAGTTGGGAGATGTAAAACGGTATTCTTTGAGTTCATTTTGAAAAATAGATTATAAAAATTGGTAGAACAGTGAGCAATTAAGTTAACAGAATAGCTAATGCCTTTCCACCAGCTGGACTTGGCTACTTCCTGGCATTCTTCTTAGTGTCAAATGTATGTTCTTTTACCATCTGAGTGCTTACTGTTTGCCCAGCTAAATGTTGTAGATAGTGCCAGGAAGTAAAAACACAAGCAGGACGTAGCTGTTTACTGTAGGGAGCTCACTGTTGATTAGGGAGATAGGAATGATATATCAGTCACCTTGGTTTGATTTCTTTCCTCACAGGTCAACAATTTCTGGCAGTGAAGTTTAGGGTCTCATAACTTTGTCATTAAGGTTTCTTTTTTTGTTTATAGTTCTGCAAAATGCGCCACCACGCCCAGCTAATTTTGTATTTCTAGTAGAGACGGGGTTTCTTCATGTTGGTCAGGTTGGTCTCAAACTCCTGATCTCAGGTGATCCACCTGCCTCAGCCTCCCAAGGTGCTGGGATTATATGTGTGAGCCACTGCACGCAGCCATACGTTGCTGTCTTATTACATATTGGCATTATCTTTGTACATATTCTATTTCCCTTATTAAAGACTATAATGGAAAACCGGTTCTTAGAATTCATAGAAGGAGCTGGGCACGGTGGCTTACATCTGTAATCCCAGCAGTTTGGGAAGCTGAGGCAAGCGGATCACTTGACTGGCCAACATGGTGAAACCCCATCTCTACTAAAAATACAAAAATTAGCTGTGTGTGCTGGTGTGTGCCTGTAATCTCAGCTGCTCCGGAGGCTGAGGCAGGAGAATTGCTTAAACCTGGGAGGCAGAGGCTGCAGTGAGCTGAGATTGTACCACTGCACTCCAACCTGGGCAACAGAGTGAGACTCCATCTCCAAACAAACAAACAAAATAGAATTCATAAAAGGGGCTACATCCAATATCTTTAACTTAGCAGCACTGTCTTCTTGGGGCAGAACATATAACTCCTGTACTACCTTATTTAGTATCTTCAACTCCTCAATGTCCTTAGTAAGCACTTTGTAAGTATATGTCAGATGAATGAATATATGGATGAAAACATAGTACTGAAAAGGTATGTTGGGAGCAAATTGTAGAGAATCTTAAATGCCAAAATAAAGGGCTTGGCAGCGGGCAGTTTGGAGTTTATAAGCAAGATTTAGTTATTATCTAAATGATATGAATAAAATGAGAGTTGTACAAAGTGGATTAGACTAGAGAGAGACTAGTAACCAAGGGAGCTGTTATACTCCAAAAGGTTAGTAATAAAATCCTAAGAGACAGGAGGATCACTTGAGGCCAGGAGTTCAAGGCTAGCCCGGGCAACCTAGCAAGACCCAGGTGTGGTGCTGCATGATTAGAATCCCAGCTACTCCTGAGACTGAAGTGGGAGGACCACTTGAACCCAGGAGTTCAAGGCCACTGTGAGTTGTGACTGTGCCATTGCACTCTAACCTGGTTGACAGAGCGAGACCCTGTCTCTTTAAAAAAGAAAAAAAAGAAAAAAAAAAGATTGAGAGAAATAAAATTGAAGAGCTTGATTCAGGAAAGGCTCTGAAGGAAAAATTGACAAGATCTACCTAGAGCAGGGGTCCGCAGTTCCCAGGCCACGGATAAGTAGCCCTCCATGGCCTGTTGGGAACCAGGCCACACAGGTGAGCCACAGGCACACAGTCGAAGTTTCATCTGTATTTATAGCCATTCCCTGTCACTCACATTACCACCTGAGCTCTACCTCTTGTCAGATCAGTGGCAGCATTAGATTCTCATAGGAACACAAACCCTGCCATGCTCTGTCTACCCTGTCGCAAACCCCAGCAGCTCCTTATGAGAATCTAATGCCTGATGATCTGTCACTATCTCCCATCACTCCCAGATGGAACCATCTAGTTGGAGGAAAACAAGCTCAGGGCTCCCACTGATTCTACATTATGGTGAGTTGTATGTTACAATGTAATCATAATAGAAATAAAGTGCATAATAAATGAATGCACTTGAATCATCCTGAACCCCACCCTGCCCCCGCCCAAGGTCAGTGGAAAAATTGTTTTCCCTGAAACCAGTCCCTGGTGCCAAAAAGGTTGGGGACCACTGACCTAGTGGGCTTGTGTCTGAGAAGCCAAAAATGTAAACATGTCTAAGAAATATCTCTTCAGGTTTGAACCTAGATATATAGGAAAAATAATAAGCTCTTCAAAGTTAATGACTTACTTATCTATAATTTGCCCATTATAGATAAGTAAGTGGCTAGCAGTTGCTACTGAAAAATGAATTTTAATTTATAGCAAAAACCTTTTTAAGAGTTAATATTTGATTGTGGCTGTCCAAAAAGTCTGAAGTAGTCATAATCTGAATGTAATCATTTATTTGTCCAACAAATATTTATAGTGTATATACTGTAGTTTTTAAACCTGACTTGTGCATAAAAAATTCCTATAAAGCTTTTTAAAAGTATCTTTTCTTGGGTTTTGCTTCAGTGTAAAAAAGAACTGCATAAAAGTCAGGGACAGGCTGGGCACGGTGGCCTAACGCCTGTAATCCCAACACGTTAGGAGGCTGAGGCAGGCAGATTACAAGGTCAGGAGTTCAAGACCAGCCTGGCCAATACGGTGAAACCCTGTCTCTACTAAAAATAAAAAAAAATTAGTGGGACATGGTGGCAGGCGCCTGTCGTCCCAGCTACTCAGGAGGCTAAGGCAGGAGAATCGCTTGAAGTCAGGAGGCAGAGGTTGCAGTGAGCTAAGATCACACTACTGCACTCCAGCCTGGACAACAGAGCGAGACTCTGTCTCCAAAAAAAAAAAAAGTCAGAGACAGGCAGGCACAATGGCATGCATCCTGTAATCTGAGCTACTTGGGAGGCTGAGATGGGAAGATCATCTGAGCCCAAGAATTTAAGACCAACCTAGGTGATATAGCAAGGCTCTGTCTCTTAATTTTTTTTTTTTTTTTTAATTAGCCAAGCACGATGGCAAGCACCTGAGTTCCAGCTACTTAGGAGGCTGAGGCAGGATTGCTTGAACCCAGGAGTTTACAACCAGCTGGGCAATATGACAGGATCCCGTCTCAAAAAAATTTTTTTAAATAAAAGGTCACGGACAAAGTCCACTCAGAAAAGAATGCTTTAGGAATAGGGTTTCTTCAACCTACTGGAGAGCCAACTGGTAGAAATGCCAGAGCTGTGGGCCCCTTCTATCTTAGATTCTAGGACCAGGACTCTAATAAAAGAAGGTGAAAAGAATAGCTGGTTTGGGAGAAGAAGATACGTTAGATGTAGATCAGGAGAGTCAGCATAGCCAAGTGGTTAAGAGCATGAGCTGTGGAGCCCACTTGAGTCCATTTCCTGGCTCTGTTTGACCACTTACAAGCAAGGTGGTGCTGGATAAGTTACAGAACTTCTCCATCTCTAAGTTGGGGATAATAACAGACTTACCTCCTAGGATTGTGAGGATTAAATGAGGCAATACATGCAAAAGTGTTTAGGACATCAGTGTGCCATGGTGCTCTGGGATGTCACATCAAACTTAACCAGGACAACACTTGATATTTTAAAAACATTTTGAGACAAACAGCAGTACTTGACATGTCTCAGATACCTTATGAACTACTAGTTCAAAATTATTCCCAGCTTCAACAAGTTATGTTACATTCTTTTCAGTAGTGCCCTATCTTTTCAAAACCAAGTGTGAGTGTTCTAGAAGTAAAAAGCAACTACCACATTGAAAACCCACGTAAGTACCGAGAACCAAGAATATTGGAGAACTTTGTCCTTGCACTGTGCTCAGCACATCAGTGAGCTTTCAGTAAATATTATAATCATCATCTCAGTCGCAATGGAAGTTCAAGACCTGGGATTTAGTAGAATAGTTGGAACTTGGGTTAGAAATCTGGTGTTCATGTGCCATGAATGAAATAGGTGAATGGATAAGAGGAAACTGAGCTCAGGGCAGAATTTGTGGAACACTTACA